ACAAAAATTCCATCTTTCTTCGTTAAACATAAAATAAGTTTGAACTTAGAAAAACGGTATATTTTTATGTTAATAATAGTTTTTGAATATAATAAAAATTCCAAAAAAATTGTATACAATATTAATAACGTGATCATGTGCAAAAGTGAGCTATCGCGTGGATTTAATTTTGAGAATGATTAAACTTATGATAACTTTCAAATAATACGTCCGAATTAAATAATTCAAAAATTAATTTATAGATACTGATGTAGGCTTGAACAGGAAGTAATTTATTTTGATAAGGCTTAATACTGTAATTATGATAATAGCTTTCCTATAAACGCTTCATGAATGGCAATTTTTAAAAGTAGTAAAATGTATATAGTATGTCAACCTTAAGAGAGACATATGCCATCTGGTAGTTTTCTGTTGACCTATATTAGATACACAATTCCACCATACATTGTTTTCTTATATCTCAAAGGGTTTTGGCAGCGTTTTCGTTAAAAGATCCCAATCCGCTAATTTTTTCTCGACATCTTCAACAAATTTTTTTTTTTTTTTTTTTTTTTTTTATGTTAAAGGGGGCAACCGAGCAGACGGCCTACCTGATGGAGGTAGTACCGTCGCCCATGGACATCCGCGACATAAGACATGTTGCGGATGTGTCACCACCCTTGACTTGGGAAGAGGGGAAGGAAAAAAGGTAAGGGGAGGAAAATGGGAAGGGATAGGAAAGGATGGGAAAAAGGGAAAGGGCAACCGGCTCTCTCACTCATCGAACGAAACGCAGCAACTAAGGCTACTTCACGCCGATCTTCTGTGAGAGGGTGGTACTTCCCCGGTCGAGCCAGCCCATGTTCGAGCTGTAGTAACTTGACCACAGCTTGGCTCTACCACCTTCAGTAAATATCCTTAATATATAAATAAATACAAAACCTTAACAAATTATACATTAAAACTTTTCTCAAGAATCACGCTATCGGATAATTGGCGTAGTAGTTTTTCTGTTTATTGCGAACAGACAGACAGACAGACGGCGGGGGACTTTGTTTTGTAATATGTATAGATATTGATTGATGATAAACTTGCTTCAACTAGGAAAAGTTCCTCTCGCTTTCAAACTTACAAGTCACAATTACAATAATAATAATAAATTTTAATAAAATAAAATCAATAAATTATAAACGTCAATAATTAATAAGTCAAGTTAACATAATGCAATTAAGATAACCAAATACATTCTAAGTATTAAATTAAATATGTAATCTATTCTAATAGGCTCTGGTTCCGGAAATTGTTTATCACAGTAGTGTCGAATATATTAATAGTTAAGTCTTCAAAATAACTATATTAAAAAGTTTTTAAACATCGGAAGTGAAAGAAAAATTACATGTGTTCTTCTTTCTCTACGTTCAATTGTAGCATTTACCTCCTATGTAGACTTATTTTCAGTATATTTGAGCGGGTTTTATAGCAATTGGAACCTACTAAACTCATCAAGCGGTAGATCCTCTCGTTAATCTGTAGGTTCTCTTCTTCTTCTTCTACCCTGCAATTTCCCAGCTATAGCCAAGGTTTGCCTTACATGATGTGAATAGTTTTTGGCTATTTGTTTTTACGACCGACCGCCTGCCTGACATCAACCCTCTTTTTGGGAATCAACATTAATCAGTGATGTCTAAATACTCTTATAAAGTACTTATGATTCGGAAAAATCACATTGGTACTTGCCCGGGCCAGGATCGAACCCGCGCCCTCGGCAACGAGAGGCGGGCCTTTAACCACTGAGCCACCACTGACTTCTCGTTAATCTTTAGGTTATTGAAAATAAACCACTTTTTCTCGTCTCCAATGAACAAGGCCCTCTTCAATGACGTTCATACTAAGAAAGTGCTTTGGGTCAGCAACACATTGGGTTCGTCTAGTCCTTATTTCATTATCAAAACAATACACATAGGGTACTTTACTTTCGCAAGATAATCAGGCTTACCGAATACAGCATATTTCATAAAATTTATTTTATAAAAAAAATTCCCATTCATTATAATCATATCGATTTTAATTTAAATGTTAAAAAAATCCCCAGTAAATTGTTTTTTATTTTGGATCTACAGTAAGCATAAGGAAACTCGTGATGAAAATATTTTTTTCTCTTTAATCAGTATTGATATTTATATAGGGATGAGACGTGCTTGCTGGTTACTTAGTGTAGATAACATTATATTAGATATTTATCATGTCTACAATAGTAAAGAAATAAAAAAAAGCCTTAAACTTAGACGATCTATTTTCCTTGTCTATAGTAAGAAATTAGTTTTAAGACAGAAGATTTAAAACTAATTTCCTAATATGATCTTTTTCTATTTTCTATTTTTTCTGCCTTTCATGTTGTGAATAGTTTTGGCTAATTGTTTTTACGACCGGTCGCCTGCCTGACGTCTACCCTCTTTGGGAATACATTAATGAGTGATGTCTAAATACTCTTAGAAAGTACATATGACTCGGAAAAATTACTTTGGTACTTGCCCGGGCCAGGATCGAACCCGCGCCCTCGTGCGTGAGAGGCGGGCCTTTTAACCCCTAGGCTGCCACTGTTAATTTGTGTATTATAATTATCAAAATTCTTCTCAAACTAGAAATTTTCATATTGGTACTTGCCAGGATCGAAGCCGCGTCCTCTACACTAGCAAACATTCTGAAACACACAGGCAATTTTTGCGAAGTCTACCCTCTAAGAAATTAAGTAACTTACAACAATAAATCTAAGGATATTCAATATTAATTTAAATAGAAATTACTTAGTCTTAAATTAAAATTGACAGAGAAATAATGAAGTGAAACAGTTTTCGATATGAAAATCATGAATTTTTCATTGTTTTTTTTTATTTGAATATCTCATCTCTCATTATACCTATTTAAAATTTTGATAAATATTCCTCAAAGTATAATAAAGGTTATCTATAAAGATTACTTTTATTGGAAACTATACTAAAATGTGGATAAGTTAGCGGACCCACAGTTGGGCCCTAAGCCTAGAAAAACAAGGGTTTTGCAACTGTTTCTGTAGCGCTGCTCCAACTGCAGTTCACAATTTATATATTTCCAATTTAATATTGAATATTTATATTCATAAAACATACATTGAATATTAATCATCTTTATTACTTATATATTTCATAAATACAAGTTAAAAAAGTATGTACGTATTCTTAATAATTAAAGAGATATAATTTTACATAATAAATCAATCTAAATGACTATTTTCTCCTTATATAACGATGGAAAATAGCTCTAAACTATGAAAAGTTCACACTTTTCCAATGCTTAATTGTTCCTTTTGTAAGTAAATGAATATTTTGATTAAGTATGCACAAGTGTTTTTCTATTATCAATTCGCTGAATGATAATTGCTGTCAGCCGTCAGGTTTTATAAAAAAAAAGTTGAATGGAAACATTAATGAATTTAATTTTGTATTCATATAAACGAAGAAAAGTACGGTATTCGATTATATTTCGATATGTGACTGTGCCTCAAGTTAATTGAAATTAAACCTTATTTTATATGTTACTGTGGTTCTTTATCAGTTCACACTTTTATACTCGGAGTTTGGCAAAATTTAAATAAGATTTTTAAAAATACATTTCTGAAATTATAATATATAATTAAATTTTGTTCTGTCATTTGTCATACTTAATTGCGAAAATTGCGGACGAGATAACGTAATTTCTTGTAGACGCTTTTAACATGCTAATCAAAAGATTCTTTGTTTTTGTTCCCAAGTGAGACATCTTGAGGGATATTTAGTCATGTTTCAGATGTAAGAAAATACAGCAAGCAACATATGTATCCTCCATCAATATATGTGATGTGGATATATCAACCTATAGCAGATATTATCTTGTGATATAAAATACTTGAATAAATTTTATATAACATTATTCAACTTAATGGTTAGGGTGTACATAAGAATATCGTTTGCGTAATTATATCCGAAAAACATAGTTCATGATGACTAATGTTAATAAAATGCAAATAAGCAAGTTAAACAAATATATAGAGATTAAAAAAATTATACAAAAGTAAAAAAACATTTCCGGTATTTAAAATACTAAATAATGTGAGTTTACCATCTAATTTCTCTAATTTTACAAGAATACTTTTCAAATTTGGTTATGTAGAGAGAGGAGCTTGGACGGTGGAGGTGAGCGTTTAACGCGTTAGATAGGGGTCCCTTAAACCTACACCTGGGTCGCAAGTCCCAGACACTGTTGAAGCTCCTCTCACTACAACAATGGACCCGGCACACGGAATACATTGAATGCTGAGAGGTTTCGTCTCATAATGGTTTTGAAATATATCAATTAAATTACTCATTTCAAAAGAACGTATGACTTAAAATATTATGTAACAGTAACAAATGACTAAAACTGAGTATGACTTTGCAATTCATTTAAGATAAACAATATTTAGTTCATTAAACAAAAGTTTACGTATTCTTACTATCTTGATATAACTTTAATTCCATACTATTCTCGCAATACATCACGCCGACTACAACGTGATTGAACATTGTAATATGTTATCTAATAATATATATACATATATGTGTGTTTGTTTGTGTGTGTGTGAGTATGTGTGTGTGTTTGCGTATTAAAACTACGTCAAACTAAATTTAACCTACCGTATAGAATGTCTGAATAGGATTTTCTAGACACGATTTCACGATAAATTTCTCAAATATTAAAAATAAAATGCCTCGTAATATATGTATATATATTCAATGGATATCGTAATCGTTCTTTAGTTTAGAACCCATATAAAACTTCTTATCTGTTTTGTTTATTTAGTTTTAACATTTGTATTAAATCGTCGTTTTCCGCAGTCACCTCTCAGTAGCTCCAATCGCTTACACTTGCGTATTCTTAAACATTTCAAATTTGATTTAAATCAATAAAAATCTTAAACCAATTTAATAAATAGTTATTTAATAATTGTGTAGAAATTTCGTATAAAAATGGTTGTAAAAACAAGCACTAAAACCTTCGAGGAGGCTTTATATATGACTGGTGAGTTAAAAAGTTTAATTTATTTTATAATACTTTATTATTTCACGTAATAATAATGATTAGCACATTTCAAAATAACCTTAATAACCCTATTTTAGATAACAGTAGGAAGATTTATAAAATTATATTTGAATAATTAAAAAATATCAGTTTTAATTAATACAGTCTCATACTTTAATGTTTTCTGTTAAAATTTAAAATATTGCAGAATGTATTGTAAAACATACATTTTTATATCAAATTGTTTCAATATTTACATTCTGTCTGTTACAGTCTGCATGATTTGAATATAAAAGCCAGTTGAAAATATAGTTGTATAAAAAAGTGGCATATTCATGTTATAAAATTAAAATATTATTCCAGAAGTGCCTATCATAAACCAACAAAAAGAACTTTTTTCACGAAGCCCAAAGAAATATAGTAAAACCAATTACTATGATTTAACAAAGATTAGTTGAATGGTTAAAACTTCGTATATTTAATCGTCATTAAACTTAAATTACAATATTTTATCATACTTAAAAACCTTACACCTATTGGCACGCGGTGCGCACTTAATGAGTAATTACTATTAGACACCATAAATTGTTACATCATTTTTGATAGAAGCTGATAGTATACTACTGGACCGATATTAACCAAAAATATTTAAGAATCATCGCAAGGAGTCTGGCTAGCACATAAAAAACAGACACAAACACACACGCACACTGACACCGCCGTCAAACTTATAACCCTCATTATAACTTTTTAACATAACCTTATAACTTTTTGGTTCGGGGTTTTAGAAATAAGGACCAACTGAACAAAATTTATGAATACCAAAACTATTCAGTAAAACTAGCTAGATATAATAGATGGTTTTGGAGGTCCCAAATCCTCCTACTCAAAAAAATGTCGTCATTACTTGTTTGGGCTCAAAAAGAAAGAATTAAGGATAGAATGATGAAGTAACTTAATTCTCTTTTTAAACTGGTTTTATAACTGGTTATTTATGAATTCCAGTGTACGGAAAACCAATATTAATTTATGAGACACTGAAAACTTAGACATAAATGTAAAAAATACCAACATAATTGTAATAAATAAAATAAATAAACAGTTGTTTCCCATTCTTCCAACATGAAGAAAATTTTAGAAACCTCCTCCGACTGCAAAAAGCTTTATTAATATTCTACTTATTTTCTAAATGACCAAACCGAAATAATTTCTTGTCGAATTGCATGCAAGTTTATTCATGATTTTCTTCGACCTATTTTTCTCTTTATTTTATCATTATTAAATAAGATAGTGAATAGGTGTATTCATAGTGTTTAGACATAACATCTTAATACCTTACCTTGAACTTTTTGACAGTTGGCATAAATATCAGGAACATTTTTTATGTTTTTTAATTTTACCTTTATACAAATTCAAACTATCATTAAAAATATCTAGGTTTGCTTTACACTCAATATCATTATAACATTTAATGATTCTACTTATTGGCGCAGCTTGGCCTAAATTGGTCCTAGAAAATTTACTTTTAAAAGTGTAGTATGTTGTATGTCTGGCATTTTGTCTCGGAACTACAACATTAATTCTATTTAATAGATCAGGACAGTCGATAGCATCGGATATAATTCTACGAAAGAAACACAGGTCCAGCATATCTCTGCGATCTACTAAAGAAAGTGCATTATAGTTTGCAAGTATGGTCTTGTAATTTTCGTTTAAACATTAGAACACATTGGAGATTGGTTTTATTTCGGTTCTTTTGTTCCACCTAATACATAAAACCAGCGATAGCAAATCATCAGCAACCATGGTGCCCTTTTTGTAATGTCATCCTTTTAGGTCCTCTTTTTGTGACTATTGACAACAATAAGCTGATTGTATGATAAAAGAAATCTTGAATTGACCTGGAAGTTCAACATACGACAACATAAACCTTTTTTCATCATATTAAATGATAGACTATATTTTTAAAAATAATAATATTATAACAAAATGTCCTCATTCCAGGTTTTGGCAGGTTCAACTGCTTGATGATGTTGGTAAATATTAGTGTCATCTTGGCCATGGCGTTTGAAGTTGTCTCCGTGGCGTACTTGGTGCCAGCCAGTGCTTGTGAACTGAAAACAACGAACGCTCAACAGGGACTGATGGCGGGAATACCGCTGATGGGTAAAGAAAATATATTCATTTGCTATATATAAAAGCAGTACCTAGTACCTACGTCTGCTAGGGCAGCAATTGATTTATTAGAAATTTATACATTTTATAACTGATTTAATTGTTCAAATCACCATATAAGCGGTACCCCTACTTTATTATAGATACATTTAGCTTTCTATTCCATCAGTTTCGTATCCTTAATAAATAGATTGAAATTAATAAATTGTTCCTAAGTATAAATTAATAGCTATTTTACTAAAGAAACCTTATACATATAACTCGAATTGCTACGATCATAATTCGATTTGTACTTCCATGACATATGAAGATAGATATGAAAGTACAAAGTAATTAACAATTAAGTCAATGGTGGCCTAGTGGTTAAACGGCCCGCCTCTCATGCACGAGGGCGCGGGTTCGATCCTGGCAAGTACCAATGTCATTTTTCCGAGACATATGTACTTTCTAAAAGTATTTAGACATCACTGATGAATGCATTCCCAAAGGTCGTAAGGCAGGCGGCCGGTCGTAAAAACAATTAGCCAAAAAAAACTTTTCACAACATGTAAGGCAGACCCTGGCTAAAGCTGGGAAAATTGCCGGGTAGAAGAAGAAGAAGAAAGCAATTAACAATTTGTCAAATACAAGATATTCCCAATAATGATGAAAAATATAATACGATACTGCTGAATTTGAGTGATCTCGAAATATTAATCTTTTTACTAAATTCTACTAATTTAAATTTTGTAATAAACACTATACTGTTGGGATATATACCTATATATATTTTTATATTTAGGTATAATCGCGACCTCCCATTTCTGGGGATACCTGGCTGATACGCGAGGTAGAAGGAAGATCCTCATTGTATGCATGTCACTGGGTTTCTTGGCAGGATCTTTATCAGCATTATCACCCAACTGGATTATGTTTAGCGTTTTGAAGTTTTTGTCTTCTTGCGCGTGAGTCCTTATTTTATATATAAACAAATATATACAACTTGTAAAAATCTTTACAAATGATATTCCAAAGAAAGAATTACTCATGATTATTATTAGTAATTCGTTCTTTTATGTTTCTTTTTGATGATTTATTGCTACCAATTAAAATAAACACGTAAAGTTAAAATAAACTAGTGTGATCTGTCTTTAAAAATTGTTTAACAAATGTGATTAAGATGAATAATATATCCTATTATTCAATTTTAGACCAGTTCTGCTAAAACTATTTTATTTTCTACAGAGTGTCCGGGACATACGCTTTGGCCTTAACACTGCTGAGCGAGTGTACTCCTTATCACAAAAGATCGATAATGGTAGCTCTTACTAGCACCATTTATCTCACCTCCACGGGAATAATGGCAGGTAATTACTTATGTATTAAAGTCAAATTAAATATATTATAATTAAGTATAAAAAAACATCTACTTATCAGTCAGTTCGTAAGGAATAGTATAGGATCCCAAGTTAAGTCGAACTTCACCCATCTGTTTATAAAAACATAGAAATATAATACTTATCATATATGCTAAATCTGGGTTGCATACTTTTCTCATAAACCAAAGGGGAGAGCAGATATTTAAAGGACGAATATAAAGTACATCTGGTTAATTGTTACTAAAACAGAGACCAGGTAACAGGTTATAGGGAAGTTTCATTTAAGGAATTTTGAGACAAACAAGTCAATGAAATTAAATGAAAAAATATTTTTTTTATTATTATTATTTATTATACGATAACCCTTATATAATCAACATTTTCTTCGCTACAATATTTGTATTTCTTATGTGGTGTACAGAGATTCTATGCAAGAGGCATCAGTTAATCATCAGTTCATAATATGGTTATATTATTATGATTAATCAAATAAATGGAAAATTATAGTTTTTCAATTCTCAGTCTCTGTTACTACTCTTTTATTTTTATCCTACAACCGAAACAGGGATGATAAAATATATCAAAATTATTGATTTATACAATATGAATAGTTAAATAACTTTTTTCAATTATCAGCTCCTTCTAAAAAGACCCTAAGTTTCAGAAATACGTAGAACCAAACCATGAGAACAAGTTATCATAAAAAGATTGATGGTATTAAATTTCATTTCCAGTGCTTACAATCCCGGTGCTGCATTTGGACATGGCTTATCCAATACCGTATATCAATATAGACTTTCTCCCGTGGCGTCTCCTGACTTTGGTATTCGCTTTGCCATGTGCGTTCGCTGCCTTAGCTTTATACTTCGCCTTTGAGAGTCCCAGGTTCTTACTTCGGATCGGAGAGGAGGAAAATGCTTTGAATATTCTGAAAAGCATATTTTCAATTAATAGTGGAAAAAGCGGTGATGATTTCAATGTATGTAATGTTTTATTTACTGTTCTTTTGCACTTGCTGTTTTAGTATGAACAAATTTTTCTCAAAAGCAATATAATATAACCTTCAAAGATCAGTTGCACTTGTTTATGAAGTTGAATTAATGAGTCTCGTCTTAGTTACACAAGTGATTTCGATATATTTTTTTTTAAATATTATTCAAAAACGTATAGTCAGTGGTGGCCTAGTGGTTAAGGGGTCCGCCTCTCGTTTCCGAGGGCGCGGGTTCAAACCTGGCAAGTACCAATGTGATTTTTCGGAGTCATATGTACTTTCTGAGATTATTTAGATATTACTGACATACGGTGAAGGAAAACATCGTGAGGAAACCTGGACTTATAGTTTCACAATTATAAGTTTGAAATCACCAACCCGTCTTGAGCAAGCGTGGTGATTAATGCTCAAACCTTCTCTATGTGAGAAAGAGGCCTTGCTCAGCAGTGGGCGCTGATAGGCTGATGACGTATAGAATAAAGACTAGGTTTTGAACTTATAACTTCTACAAAATTTCTTATTTATTGAAATTTAAATATGTACATATATAGAAAAATATTTTCGAAAGATAAGTTAGAAGAAATTTAAAGTAACCAGGAATTTTGATTATGGTAATCAGCATATATATAAATACAAACCTAATGTAATTTAATTTATGACATGCTTTTTAACTTAGTCAATTCATATTGAAGACAATATGTTGAAAACGACAGAACTAATACAAGTCTTTGTAAACAGACGAAGATACATGATTTATTTAATATAAAATCCTATAAATTTATTTTAAGCGTGTAATAAACTATTCAATTTCATAACATATAAGTGAGTCTTATATAAAATATGAATTTTCAGGTGGATTCATTAATATTAGGTGAGGACGCTGGCAAGTTTGTTAAAGGTATGTGGGCATCGCTGGCTGCTCAAACAGCACCGTTATTGAAACCTCCTCTTCTGAAAAATACACTGTTATTAGGAGTTTTGTTCACTATAATTTATTTCGCGTAAGTATTAATTAATCTTTAATTAATAACATACAACATTTTTTTTTGATGATCGCTTGTAGATGTCAAACTGTCGCTAGATATTTCATGAAATTTATCTTCTATTGTTTTTCATATGTTGTAATATTTATTTCAGATTGAATTCCGTGTTAGTTTGGCTACCTTTTATAGCAGATGCCATGATGAAATCTATTGAAAAGGGAGATAACAATTTGACAATCTGTGAAATGATACGTCGCGTACAAAATACACCGATAGAAGACGTAGGTTATACTTTACTAATTATACTTTTTAAATATATTAATATTTACTAATATTTCAATATAATAATATTTAAATGAAACTAATTTTTTTTTGTATTTACTACGCGGTTTATTTTTGGAAAAACTGCATACTCCCGACATTCAAATCTCGTCTGTCCGTAATCACGGTAGCTGAAAAGTAACCGAAACGTCGGGAGTATGTAGTTTATTACAAAAATAAACCGCGTAATAGGTATATCCGAAAAATATTAGTTTCATTTAAATGAATAAACTCGCGAAAGTCTTAGATTTCATTATCGAATAAAGGATATAAAAAACAGGATAATTAAAATAAAATTCGTCTTAATGATATGTAACTAATCCTTTGAATCAACAAAGACTTAAAACGACGTCAAATTTGTGCAAAGATTTTAAAAGCAAATAATTCTATAAAGTTAAATACATACACGTTAATAAATCATGTATGTTTATCAGTTTGTGTTCACTTGAATGAGATAAGTAATCATAAATTAAACTTTTAAATAATCTTAATCATAATAAAGTGTCATTATAAAATGAATATAGGAGTTATATGTAAGTTACATTAATAGATATATATGAGACGAAACCTCTTAGTACTCAATGTATTCATCGTGCGGGTGCCGGGTCCATTGTTGTAGGGAGAGGAGCTTCAACAGTGTCTGGGACTTGTGACCCAGGTGTAGGTTTAAGGGACCCCTATCTAACGCGTTAAACGCTCACCTCCACCGGCCAAGCTCCTCTCTCTACCTAACCAAAATTAACATTATACAATATTTGTAGGTGTTTTAAAATATTAAAGTCTCTTTTATTATTAATAAAATATTATACACGTTGCTATAATGTTATACAACTGAAAAAACATATAGCGAGTGTAATAAAACATATTTGTTTTTTGGAATTCAGTTAGAAACACGTAATAGTCAGTCAGTATAAATAGGTTTGATGTCATTCAAATGTTTTCTTTAGTCACAATAATGTGTTTGGAGAAGCCTTTAATTTAAGCCTCCAGATAAGATCGCGCCTAACTAAACAATCTATTTTAGTGTAGAAAATTAGTTACATATACATAAGAATAATTAATTTATAGATTTTATAATGGTTACTTATTACTAAGTTTTTAAAGAAATAATGTATCTATATGCATTAAGTACATGCATTTAGTGATACGTTTCATGATTAATTGAATAAAAAAATAACTTCTGTCTTCAAAAAATTTTTGAGAAGGAATATAGGAAAAAATTATCAACTGGAAATTTTTCAAAACTTTCCAAAGCATAAATTCTGGAAATTTTGTCAAAAATTAGAAATTTTTTGACCAGTAATAAGTCAATTTTTTTTTTGTAGATCAATCAGGACTGCGCCCTCAACGAGTTCGGAATGATTTCAGTTTTTATAATAAGTATCATGATAGCAACTCTCAATATTGGTCTAAGTACACTCATCAACAAAATGGGTAGAAAACGTCTCCTGGTTTGTGTACAGGTAATTATTACAGATTCATATACTTTGACAGTATTTCCAAGTATTTTGGAAACTGTAATATGTACATAGAAATTCGCAAATATTTATCAAAACTTGGTAATTTTATTTCAAAATACGTTCGACGATATTGAGACAAGACTTTGTTTCAAATCCTAGTACAAATATTTGACCACCAACTACAAATATTTTATTACCAACTTAACATTATCACGTCAGATATATCAATGGTAACCTTTGTATATTTTGATGTTAAATTGAATAGAACGATAAAAAAGGACTTCTTATTAATTCATTTAGTGTCAAACATCCGCTTACAAAATAATAATACTCAAAAACCTCTGTTGTTTTTAAAATCACTACAACTAGTATTGAAAATTGTTGTATGAACAATATGAATTTCATTATGAAATATCCCCTACCACAAGTCTGCGTCGTCAAACTACAAATCGTTATTCGAGTTTCATTCACTAATTTTCACACATGGTATAGACATGGTATCCATACACACATGGTATCCATATAGATTTTGAATGGAATACTACAATCGGTTCATACATAGTTTCGCCTTTAAACTCGTAGCTAGTACAGTAAAAAGCATTACACATTTGTCAAGTATCTTTTGTTTACTATACTCACAGATAAGCCTTGTTTTTAAATCTCTATTTAGTTAAGGTGTCGCTTAATTATTGCATCAGTAATGAATTACATAACTTTATCTCGTCTTTGTGTTACCAAGATTACAAGGCGGAACAAACAAAATATTTATATATTTATATTTAATGAAAATTTTCAATTGTGAACTCACATATTATCGACAGTAAAAAAATAATAAATAATTCCCTCAGCGCGGATGAAGTGTAACTTCGTAAAGTTGGATAGAAACGGGAAGGGGTAAAAATTGATTTTTAATGAGTTTTTTTATTTAAGACAAACTTTATTAACATTACTTACAAGTCACAATTGATTTCTTATTGCGTTCGTAGCGATACACATTCCCTCTCACTCTGTCTCCGTTTATCTCACCCCCAGAAGCGTTAAACGTTTAACGCAACCTTGTTAGATGTGGCATAACAAGTTTTACAACAACCTAACACTTTTGACTTAACATGTTATTGCTTTATATAGATGTAAATAATTTTATATGAGTTTTTTCTTTAGTTAATAGCCGGTGTGGCGGGTGTATGCGTGAACTTAAGTAGTGTGTGGACTGTGAGCGGTGCTTGTCTCATCGTGTTTCTGGCTGGAGTACTTAACTTCGGATTCCTTTCAACCTTCAGTGTGGACATCTTTCCTACTTCTGTCAAGTAAGCTACCATATTTCATTAAGAATATCCTTAGTTTATATTACTAAGAATGAAACGTTTTTTTAATACTTCTCAGCAAGTCTTCTTTTTTAGTAAAGTTGTTGTAATGTAATAAAAATATTTAGATTTCCATCATGATTTTTTAATAACCAAAAAGATAAATACTTTTTATTCCGTCTAAAGATTCTTTTCTTTTTCTTACCTTTCGTTATCTTTTGTCAGAGCCATGGCTGTATGTTTAACGCTGATGGTGGGACGAGGTAGCTCAGTGCTTGGAATCAGTATTCTTAAGAATATGTTTGTGACGAATTGCGAATTGGCCTTTTATCTTTTTGGAGGACTCACTGTAGGTAAGACAAAAATATTTTTTTAAATAAATGATTGTACATTGCAACAACAATCTTCTCCATGTGAAAAGAGGCTTTTGCTCAGCAGTGGGCTCTGATAGACTGATGATGATGATGATATTGCAGCAACGATATATTAAAGGCCATTTTCAGGCTAGAAAATCGGATTACATTAAGCCATTAAGCCTCAATGACAATATTTACCAGTATTTTCTTAGATCAGACAAATTACGCAGATAAGAGAAGTTTTAGGCTTATTTTTATTTCTTTACGTTTGTAGATACGATGAATAAATAGATAGTATAATATAATCTCCACTAAGTAACCAGCAAGTGGGTCTAGTTCTTATATGAATATCAATACTAATTAAAAATTACCTTTGAATATTATTAATTGTGTAATTTCAACTTCAAGCCTCATGTATCGTTTGTTTTTGTAGATTTATTTAAATCAAGAGATTCCTTATCTTACATGTAGATTCAAGACGAAATAAATGATGATGATTATTTTATAACAATTAAATTTGAACGAGGGTAGGGTATCTCATCCTAGGTTATCATTTGTTAATGGAATAAGGATAAGATAGATCTATTCTGTAGGGTCAAGTTCAATAGGGTCAAGATCATGTGCTAAATGTGCTCAATTGGGTGAGGTTAAGTATTTAAATTAAAACCCTCTTTTGATATAGTATTAATTTCTTTATATTCATCATCATCAGTCTATCAGAGCCCACTGCTGAAAAAAGGCATCTTGTCATATGGTGAAGGTTTGAGCATTGATCACCACGCTTGCTGACGGGTTGGCGATTTCAAACTTATAATTTGAAATTATAAGTCCAGGTTTCCTCACGTTGTTTTCCTTCACCGTCTTTCAGTGATGTCTAAATACTTTTCTTTATATTATGTAAATGAAAATTATACATCCTTCAGATTGATATTTAATATTTAATGTCTGTTACAGTTGGCGGTTTGATCGGATTTCTGTTGCCAAGTGATGTTAAAATGGTCAAAAATCAAACAGAGGATGTCAAGCAACAGACTTAAGAAGAAAAAATTAAATTCTTACTCTACTTGCCAGGGCACATACGGTGCCTGTATTATATTCCTGATTGTGATGTTGTATCAAAACACTAAAAAAAGGTTGAGTTATGGCGAATATTAAGAACATTCTTATTATCAAAGACCCTGATTGATATTTTTGCTACTTAGACAATTTTCTATGACCTGTAATTTACGGGACGGTGCAATAAATTAAAATACACGTATCTATTTTTTTGTTTTAGAAAGATTTCTTTGCCTAATTTATTTATTGATAACAAGTTGTGTGTTTTTTTGTTTGAAATATGTAGTAAATGAATTGTGATAGGATAATGGAATGTATATTAATGTTTTTTTTTATGTTTGTCATATTTTTAAAGCCAAAGCAAAAAATATTGCGATAGGTCCAAGGAGGTTATAGTACAAAATATTTGAAGGAATTCAAATATCATAGAATTAATAACATATGTACATATATTGTGTTTTTTTTTATCGACAACATTCAATAAAATATAAATTGTCACTATTGAGATATCTTTGATTCCCAGTTTAAAATGAAGTTTTTATAAAATGTTTGTTTTTTTTTAAATAAAATATTAAAAATCAATGACTCATTTTTATTGCACGTCTAAATTTTTAGCAATGTTTTCGTTAATTTAATGTATATTATTTTTTGGGACGCCTCATATTACAAAAATTATCTTCTATCAAAGTTGTAATATCATGCTAATACATTTTTTTTAAATTACTTGTAAATTGTTTAAAAGTAATTCTAATATATTTTAGCTCAAAAAGTATAAATATTATCAACAAAGACATAGGTTTTAACTGACGACATGACAATTGCTTCTTAGAACTATATTTTATAACATAACATAAATAATAATTAATTAAATAAAAATTGAAAGGACGCTAAAAATATATAGAAAATATTCTTTAATTCAGTTAAGCCTTTTGTTTATAGTTTACTTTTTCTCCCGACACCATGAACGAGGTAAGTATCGTCGATTCAACAAGCTGTTTTCAAACTACCCACTACTATTTTATAAAATGTTTTACAGCAACGCCATAGACTCGGCCATTTTTCCCATGGCTTCACAGTATGAAGCACGGTATTCGAGATGTAGCAATTAAATAATACAATTATATATATTAATAATAAATAAAAATGATTTTTCTAAATCTCGTAAATTTCATTAATTTATTGGTTTACCTGTTGCGAGTTTTTATAAAAGCACATGGGATTTTTTATGAAAATGCAAAGAGGTATGTTGAATGTTTATAAAAAATATATTTATAATATGGTTATATTGTTTTATAGTTTATATTTTGCTTTTAAGTCAAGAAATAATATGTGACATACTTAAAAATAATAATTAATTAATATTGTATTTAAATAATTAACAAATATATTTTCTTTTATTCAATTCAGGTGGCACAAGAATCTTTATCAGTACTATTACAAGTTGTCGAATACTCTTAGAAAAATGTGTAATTACTGGGAGACTCCATCTTCGCTTGTGTTATTTAGGTAATCATTATTTTTATTATTTACGCCATCTAACGGTAACTTTTAGTATTATTAAATTCAGCGCCATCTGCATTTATCTTATGCTTTAACTATTGTGACATACATTATTATTTTTTAATTATTTATTATTCGCAGTATCAGAAACACGTCCCAAAATTTTATCAAAATTTCGATGGAACTTGGATCGCAATTGCATTTTTGAATTTTGAAAAGCTTCATTTACCAAATTAAGACTAACAAGGTGCGTATTATGTTTTATCTCCAATGACTGAAATTTGCACTAAGTTTTTGTTTAATATGTAATTAATTTAAAGAGTTATAAGTCAATAATATAAACTGTTCGAAAAGTCTGTTAGTTAATACTATAAGGGTTTCATCATATTATTTGATTAATTTTTTTTTTACTTTTCTATGATAGAGGATGGCGTGGTTATTTACTCAACAAAATATCTTAATGATTGTCTGGTATTTTTGTGTATCGTTCGGAAATAAATATTAACATAAGTACTCTACAAATTATATTGCAAAAGAGGTTTGTTATAACGAATGTTTTGCTCAACAGATGGCGTTACATACTCACGATACAGCAAGGTTCAAAGTCCAACTGGCTTCATACATTTTTAATGTAAGAATTATATCATATTATACAATATCATAAGCGATTGGCTTGTAAGGTTTATTATAAATGCAATTGTTAACGATAATCTTTAGTTTTGAGGGCACGTCTTTTTAATATAAACTTATAAAGTTGTGTTACAAAATAATTGGATACAAATGAAATTCCATACCATTTATCTTGCAAATGTATGTAATAAATTGCTATCGTATGTTGAAGTTTTATAGAATTCCATGAATTGTCTGTCAGTTTGAAATTAAAAAGCAGTTTCTTTTCTTTATTTTCGCTGTGTGAGTTATGTTTACAGTGAAATGATTTTATTGCAAATGTGATCATTGTATTTAAATTTAATTCTGCATGACCAATCAACGCCATTTGTAATATTTCCATTTCTTTTGTTTTATTCTCAATTCTCTTATTTTTAAAAAGTTGTCTACTGGAGCCCGAACGGTAGATAACTTTTATAATCTCATTTCTTCTTTATTCTTCTCTGTTTTTCGTCTTGATTCTTGATAAAAGGAATTGTTTTTTAATTTCAATCTGACATGGAATTGTTTTGTACCCGATTTAGTGGTTTTTTCGATATAAAAAATCTAGAAATCGGGAGTTCTTATTTGGATTGGATAGCAATTTTGATACAGCAATAGTTAATGTGAAGTTGCAAAGAAGCGTCGTACACAAATACAGGATTTTTGGCTCACATACAGAATACTCCTTCGCGTGGTTTTTTTTAAATTAATTTTTATTTGCAATTGCACACTCATGGGTAAGCAAAGAGTGCAAATTTTTAGTGTACATAACATAGTCGGGATAGCGGTGTTGCCATGTTCAAGCGTTTTATTATAACGATCAAATATGTAAATAATTTCTTATAAATTAATGATTACACAGATGTAGTTTAAATTTTAGTTGGTGATGAAATTAATTATGAGGCTTTTAAGGAATGGATGATAAATAATTAAGTCTTAGAATATGTAATTTTTATGATAAAATTTTTAATATGTATTGATTATGTAAAATATATTTTTATGTTCACTCATTTTATTAAGTAAGGAGCTCCTTCAAGATTTAATTGTAATGAATTATTACAGAATGTAATTTTAAATATTAATTATTGTATAAAAATAAATTTTGCAAGTGGAATATTTGTTTAATTTAATATATAATGATAAAAACTTTAATTGATAATATCTAATAATAAAAATATATTTTTTTACTGATTTAGACCTACACGTTATATATATACGATTTAATTTAACATATATTTATGATTTTATTGTAAAAAATCTAGCCTATCTTATAATTTATTCTATTAGGTATATATATTTTAAACCATTTATTTATTTATATAAAGCTTGTTAACTAATCTATTTAACACAAATTTTATCGTTATTCATCTAAATTAACATAAAAGAAATGCTTCACAAAATACTATTATCATTTTAATAGAATAAAAGCAAAATTACCCACAATATTAAAATTAAACGCACACTATCAATGAAGGGAACGTTTTTTTTATGTTTTCAATATATATATCATGATAATAATTAAATTAGACATCAGTATGTAGCACGTGTAATGGCAAGTATTAAGTGTATTAAAAAGCATTAGATGATTGGGTGTCATGTCAACGGGAAACAAGAAAAATTGTTGTATATAGTATAACTATATAGTATAAGATATAACTATTGATATTAAAATAAAGTTTTTGAAGTCAGTGGTTAAAAGCCCCGCTTCTCATGCACGTGGGCGCGGGTTCGATCCTGGCAAGATACAACGTCGTTTTTCCGAGCCATATGTACTTTCTAAGAGTATTTCG